AAATAGGTAAAATATTCTAAAGGGCCTTTTCTTTCAATGCAACCACACGTCCCTGAGTCATCGGGCCAAATACTCTTGTGGCGAATTTGCTAAACTTTAAAGGCCAATTGAAGTCAAATGTTTTCCTGTTGAGATTGGCGGACCTCCAGCATGTAGGCAGTAAATTTTGATACCTATCATGAGGTGACAACCGGTATCTTGGCTTCATAATATGACTTTTGATTAAATACTCAGTATTTGCTTAATTTGGTCCTGAAAATTTCCCTCTTCTCCAAGTGAAATATTTTGCCTTCAAACCTCATTATTATTATAGTGATTATGAGGGATCACTGCGTTTCGATTCTCTTCTCTGTACTAGATGAAAAGAAATCTGATTTGAGCAAAAGCTAGGCAATTTTACTATCCCCCTACCATACGGTACATAGAAGCATGCTTGAAAAATTTTGTATTGTTATAAATACAAATCTTTTATGACTGAACTGGAAATTGAAGTCAAAAACTAAGTCGTCGAAAGACCCCTACTGCCAATTAATTTAGGCAATCGCTTGTAAACCATGTCTGAATACAGAGTCAGGTCGGTTTTCTTCTCGGTCGCCATAAACACCTTCTATGTCAACGTGTCATCATCAATTAGGTTTATTTCCCTGTCCACCTACAATTGCAAACGATATTGTTACTCCCATAATATATTATCATCATGGGCATATTTAAATGTAGATAGTGTCCTCCACTAATTTTGTGGTTACACCACATCCCCTTCTTCAAAGATCACGCGTAAAATAGAGGTCACAGCAATAAGTTTAGACGAGGCTTCGGCAGCTTACTTTCTTTCAGTGGGTTCATCTATCATTATGTACTTGGTAGTGTACCTGGACTCAGTATAGGCCTATGTGCATATCTGCTTGCCACGGGAATTTCTTCCATACTCTGAAGTTCCAGCATTAAAACATAAAATCCAGTAAACGCCATCGTCTAAGAGAGTGTTGCAAGGGGTCCAAAGAAAGGGATACACATTACTCCTGAAAGTTTAAGTGTTATCCAAAATGTCTCATTATGTCTATGTCAATGTTATTGTAGCAATTTAGTAGCCTTATAAAATTCTGGCATATCACGAGTTCTAAGTTCACTAGACGAAGCTGAATAGGATGCCCCTTCAGATTTACCTAATGTTCATAAGCTATAAAGGGCAAAATCTCACTCGAATCATTTTTGATTTCTTCTGGAGAGGGTGACCTTCGGTAAGCTCTGTTTACAAAACAATTCGTATTTATCCCTCCTCATTCTTAGCCAGCCCCGTTAATA